AGGATTCTGTAGGTACTGGGGTTAATGAAACAGTGAATGTGTTTAAACATGGATCCCATTCCAGTATTCCATGTTTAATAAAATTAAGGCAAAATAACCCCTCTACTTCATTAACCAAGCCACACAATAATTGTGTATGTCAAAGATTAGATTATACTCTTTCTCCCTAAGGAATTAATGCTGAGATATGCAATAAAATAAAGCTTATTACTACACAACATTGAGGAAATTTTGTTAATAATACAGAAATATATGCATCACCCAAACTATAAAATACATGAGAAAATGCAGGTAGCTTCCATTTCATTTCAACATAAATTTTAAAGGTCTAAATTGGTAAAAACTAAATTAAATTTAGTTAAACACTAAAATTAACTGCCTTCATAAGTACATGGTATATGCTATCACTATACATCAGCAGATGCATGACAAATAGAACCAAGGAGGTGCTACTTCCCCTCTATGTGGCATTGGTCAGACAGCAGTTGGAGTACTGCATCCAGTTTTGGGGGTTGTTCTTCAAGAAGGATGTTGATAGACTCGAGAGGGTCCAGAGGAGGCCCACTCGTATGGTTGGGGTAAACTGACAGAGAGCAGATTTAGGCTAGATATCAGGAAAAACTTCTTCACAGTACAGGTGGCCAAACTTTGGAATGGGCTTCCAAGGGAGGTGGTGCTCTCCCCTACCTTGGGAGTCTTTAAGAGAAGGCTGGATAGGCATCTGGCAGGGGCCATCTGATCCCAGCACTCTTTCCTGCCTAGGCAGCAGGGCAGACTCAATGATCTGTTGAGGTCCCTTCCAACCCTAGCATCTATGAATCTAGAAAATACTGACATTTCATAAAACAATGAAAAAGCAAGGAAAAAATATGCAGAGTAAAGAACCTACTGAATATATGGATGCCCACATGCTTATCTGGTGCATAGATGGACATCAGGAAGAATTATTGGAGATAAAACAATTATCAAGAAGCATAACTTTAACAGGTTCATTTCTATTCTTCTCGTCACATAACATTCACAATAAATAAAACGTATTAGAACTTGTGCCTATAAGATTTGCATTTGTAGAACAGTGTTTCCTTGACTAGCTTAAGGAAAGTGTGTGCCAAGATACACTTTCTAAAAAATATTAAATTTGGGAGGGTCTGTGTTAACTTAAGCAAAAGGACAGTTAGTCCTCGACACAGGAAGCATGTATTATTTTGACAAAGTATTCTGTAGAACAGTATATGGCCTGCAGACCAGATCCAGCCCATGGAGCCCTAGGATCTGGCCTAAAGATCTCAGACAGGCCTAGTGTGCTGCATGTGGCATGAGCTGCATTAGGAGGCTGTGGGGTGCATGTTGCATGTGGCATCTGAGCTGGCCCCAGCCCTACATTGGCTCCAGGGCCAGACTGGGTCCACAGACTGTCCCTGAGTGGCAAAATCAGTATGTAGGGCTGGTGTGGTATGGGCACTGCATGCCGTGTGCGCCTCACACGTGCCATGTGCAGTGCAAGCCCTGGACTGGGGCTGGCATGCGCTGCATGTGGCGTGTGGGGCTGGACCTGGTGCACATGCTACACGCGGTACAGGGGCTGATACGTGGGTACACACTATATGCAGCGCCCTGCAAGACTGGCTCTACATGCTGGCTCTAGGGCCAGTCCATATTGGGCCCATGCACTGGAGCCAGTGCACAAGGTCAGTTTGGTAGAGACACCTTATGCAGGGTGTGCCCTGTGACAGCTTCACATGCAAGTCCTAAACTGGTGCCAGTGCACACTGCATGCAGGGCTGGTTCAGGGTGCACCCTGCGTGGGCTGCCTGAACCAGACTGGTCCAGTGCGGCTGGTTTATGGGTCTAATCTGGCCAGCAGACTTGCCCCACACCCTTCATTTGGCCCACACAGCCAGATTGGTGTGACACCCTGCTTACTGAATTATCATATTTAATAATGTGAAGCAAAGTTTTGAGAAGTAATCTCTTATTTTTCATGTGCAAATATATATTTGCACATGCAAAAATCATAACTGATTGTAACCAATTAGCTTTGTAAATGCACACCTGCAAGTATAAGTTTTGTACATGTTATTTTTCAGGCTCACTGAAAATTTGACCGCTGTCATCTGTTTTGGAAAAATATTTTATTAGAAATGATACAACATAAGCATTCACATAGGTACATGTAAATATTATGTATTATAAAATGTTGTTTTTAGGTCATGTATGTTTGCAAATGCATTAGAAAATACATGCAATTATAACAAAAAAATAAGTCTTGAATTAAATGCTCATTTTCTATGTATGGGCAAGATGACTGAAGTTGCTTTATCACTGCAGTTACTAGTGCCATCTTGTGTCAGTTTCAACTAATTCAAATACTTAACACTATCATAAAATTACTTAAATTTTCCCAAAAGAAAATTTCTGTCCATTCATTAAGATATGCAGATTTGTGGGTCTGTAGATTTACTCTAAAACGAAGATAGCCAAAAGCAAACCTAATACTTATCTGAGGTATATACCCAGGAACTTCACTTATGTCCAATGAAAGATGCAAACTGTCACACAACCTTATTACACCTACAGCATTAATTGTTTCATTATGTTATAACTTTTAATTTGTTTTTGGAAACATTACAAGATGTTAAAAGATAAAAAGGTGGTAATGTGCTGCATAAGCTGGAAGTCACCTTACAGTCTATACTGCATAAAATGTATTATAGTACAGTACAAATTCTAAGAGATTTTTAAGTCTTTAAAAGGAAAATTACCTGTTTGTTTTTCTGATTAATTTTAGATATGGATACAACTGGCTTCTCCTCCTTTGCAAAGAATTCTGGGGAAAATGTCAGCATGGGATCCTCCAGTGAAAAGGAAATCCCACACATGCAAAAGAGGATCTGCAGCTGTGTAAATAATCTTACCTAAAACTTAAGCTTGAGGAGGTAAGTCTTTTAAATGAGGATTTGGCCAAGAACCATTTTTACTTAAGTAGAGAATCTGTTTGTGTTAAGTTTTGTTTGCTGGATAAATTATTTATTGTCCCTATGGAGAGAGTCTGTGTTCTTAGAACTGAACTGCTGAGCCAAATTTGCTTCTGTTGGCATAGTGATGTGTGCATTTCTCTGCATTAGCCACATCCTTTGCACTTAAGGAGTTCATAAGTGTGTAGGAGAACAAGCTTCAACCCTTGAAAAACGATTTTACCATTCCTAACCTTCCTTTGGGGACCCAGTTGTCATGGACACTATTTTAATTCCACTGTTGGCTTCACTAAATATTACTGTGGTGCTTGCTGAGAGTATGCAGAGGAAATAGTGTATTTTCTGGCAGCCTTAGCTACACTTCCCAAAAGTCCTTTATGCCAAGTTTCCAGCAGATAGGACACAAACCTTCTCTGGTGGATTTTGGCCATGAGTTGTGATTTATACAACAGCAGATGGCAATAAACCAAAAATAATCTTTTCAAAAGTGGTTGTCCTACTGGCAGAGAAAAGAATGGGCCCATCAGAACCTCAAGGGAGAGAAGAATGGGGTAGTTATTACATATTTAATTCCCATTTCAGGTACTGTATTAAAAAACAAAAAGAAGACATATAAGGATACTTGGTTTAGCAGTCTGAGCAGGTTACCTGAGTTTAAGAATTCAATTTTTATCTCTGCCACTGATTTAAATAACCTGTGTGTGCCTCAATTTACTCCACTATAAAATCCAGTTAATACTTTCCTTACTCGCAAGATGCGAGGCTTAATGTGTGAAAAGTACTCTGAGGGAGCACCTACATGTACAATTGTGGTACCTGAATAAACTGCAGAGCTCACTGCTCCAGAATTAATTGCTCCCAGGCATGCCATTTGAACGTGTACCTGGGAGCAATTAACTCCGGAGTAGTAAGCTCTGCAGTTTATTCAGGTGCATGTGGAGCCTAGGTGGAACAGCCCTGGCTGGCAGGGAGCTCCAGGGGTCAGCCTACCAGCCCAGGGCTGCTCCAGCCAGGTTCAGCAGCAGTAGAGGGGCTGGGCAGTTGTGAGGGTGCTTCAATGTGGGGCTAGCTGGCAGGCAGCCTCTGCACTGAAGCACCATCATGTCCCAACCAGCTAAGTCAGTGTCTACATGTACACTGTTGGGCACAAAAAACCTCAGCAGCAGGGTAGTACTTGTATTTACAAGTACTACCTTGTTGCAGAGTTTATTAGTTTCCTGTGCCCTAACAGGGGCGCATGTATAGATGCAGAGATGTTTACTGCAGTCAGGTCTGCAGTAAATGTCTCATGTAGACATGCTCTGAAGTTTTCAAACACAAGCAGCTATTACATGAATATAAATATATTTTTTCTGGGTTACCAAAGATTGTGCCCCTGTTGTATCAGAATAAGCACTTTAATCTTAAAAATAAATTGTGTATATATCTTAAAAATATAACATTGTTAAATTGTTGCAGGCCAGGACTTTGGGTAGGCTTTTTTCTTTAAAAAACTGGCGTTTTTATATATATCTATAGATATAGATATATATATCTGTATCTATATATACAGATATATATATCTGTATCTATATATACACGTGGTTTTGAGAAATCAGCGGGGTTTTAGGCTGTTAATTGACAGTAATGTGTAGAGAAAGCTTGAATGCAGAGCAAGATACAATAGATCACTGAAACACTGTACTAGGTGATGATAATTTGTAGGTAAGCAATTGAGCTACCATTTTTATAGCATGAAAATAATAGCATGGTTTATTAGAGCCAAGTGCTTACAGCATAGTTAGGAACAGAGAAATGACTGAAAGAATATCAATTTGACTAAGTAGGGAAGAAAGTTAAAATAAGAAATTATGGGGGGGTTGTTTTATACATATTCGGGATATGAGAAAGCTATTTACACTGGAACATTCTGTATTTCATATGTATGAGTCATAAGACAAATTAGAAACTTAAATAACTTTCTGCATGTATTTGTTACCATGTGCTAGGAAAGCAAAGATGAAACTATCAAAATAATTTCATTACCTTAATATTGGAAAACCAAAGATCATTCTCATGTAGTGTAGCAACATAAAGAGAAGTAAGAAGCCCAAGGGAGACAGCAACTATTCCACCAACTATAAGCGAAAATCTCTTCCATAGTTTTCCACCTGTGTAAAGTCAGACACACAATATTTGACTTGGGGACTGAGAAACACACAATTCTTCTTGTTTTACATAGATTTCTGAACCTCTTTTAAATGCTCACTTTTACAAAGCAATCTGGAGATAATTAAGAGATCTCTTTTCAGACCCCTGGACAGCAACTGTATTTGTGAATTTTCCGGTATAAGAAACTTAATGTTTTATTCACATGCAGAATGAGATGAGCTATGTTTCACGGGGGAAATGTAAAGTTGTAGTTTATAAGACAACACTGTGAACTTATACAGATCTAGTTAAACACCGTATCTAGAGTATAAATATAAATTACAAAATCTCTGAAATATCTTCCCAGGCATCATTTTTAATTAATGATACAGAGGGTGACTAGAAGCTCACAAAGCAAGGTATCAAACCTTGTTCTTTAAACTTCTGAATTTAGATGCTGTTTTTATGTTTTTAAAAAAAATGGCATTTCAGGTTTAATAATCCCATTAAGTTTCCACACTGAGGCTGCGCACTGATCAAAGTAGCTTCTGATAATGATGTCATGTTCTGAATTGCAATGAACACCTATTGACATCAGAAAGACAAAATAATAGATGCAATGATGCAGTGAGAAGCCACATTTTTAAATGAAACCATTCAATCAGTTTATTGTTCATGTGTAACATTTTAAATGTTTTACATTTTGTTTTAAATTAGTGACTTTTTTTAAGTTGATTTAAGACTCAGTCCCGCTCCATGATCTAGAAACAAAAAAAGCAAGATTCAGATATTGTGCAAGGACATGTGATTTGATGGAACTGTCTACTCAGTCCAGGGGTGGGCAGCTATTTGGGCCACACCTCTCCCTATCTCTCTATCCCTTCCTCCCAGGGCTGTGACCAGTGTAGAAGCCTGAACCCACCCACAGGTTCAGCATGCCCCACTGCATCCCCGTGGCTGGAGTACACCCACCTGCAGCTGTAGCACGCCCCACTGCCCCTTGGAGTCTGGACCCCGCAGCTTCTGGCTACATTCACAGGTGAACTTAGGGAGGGAGAAGGGAAGGTGCTACAGCTGCAGATAGGTTCATGCTTCAGTGCCAGTGGCAGCCCCAACTGAGACAGACAGAGAGAGAGAGAGAGTGTGGGCACACCTGGCACACCAGAAACAGCCCTGGCTGCCCAGTACCACACATCTGCCAGAGGTGGAGCTCCTGCCCATTTACAGGCTGGATACATTTACTCGACTTGCTGGATCTGGCCTGCGGATCATATTTTGCCCATGCCTGACTTAGACCATAGCATAAGTAGACAACATAAATTGGGTAAATGGCTTCCCATCTATCCAAAATATATATACAAGAGAAGAGAGAATTTTGCAAAGGTGTGATCAGAGGTTGCAGACTAAGTTTTGGCCCTTAAAAATAAAAAAGCAATGAAATTGACTGTGTGAATTTTCAAAGTATTTTCATACAAGAACTTGAAATTTTGTCCTTCATTATCTCCAGAGGTCAACAAAGTAAAAAATGCTTTACAGGTAACACTGCAAGTCTACAAAAACCAAAAAGGTATCAGCTAAAGCCCCAATTCCACATGTAACCTGTGTTTGCTTTTATACTGCAAATCCAATTCCTTTCAGATGGGGCACTCAAATTCTTAAATTTAAAAAAATCACAGCTTATGTTATCTCAAGACCCTCTATCGCGTGCTTCCCAAACTTTCCCTCAGCATGACCCCATATATGATGCCATTTCCACAGCGTGGCCCCTCACTCCCAACCTGCAGTCCCCTACCCCACAAGTGCCCCTCACTCACAACTTGCAGCCCCCTGTCGGCAGCAGGGTCCAAGCTGCTCAGACTATGGGACCAGAGCCAGGGCCTGTGGCCTGCAGTCCCCCACACAGCAGCAGGTGGCAGCTGCTGGAGCTGGAGCAGAGCATGGAGCCCAGCTCTTCACTCTTCCCCCCACTTGTACTCTTCCCTTGCAGATGGGTGGCACAGTTGGAGCAGAGCCTGTGAGGAGTGTGCAGGGTGAGAATGTGGGTTCAGGGCTCTCCGCCCTGCTGCCCTCCCCACAGGGCCTCTGCAGCTCAGAGGGCGGGACCTGGTGCCACTGCTGGGAACTCCACATCGTCCACACTGCCATGGTGAGGCTCCTCCTGCCCGCCCAGCAGCAGCTGCAGCAGGAAGTTGTGCCCCCGCTGCTGCTGGGTGTGCAGGGGGCACCTCACCACAGCAGCGCAGCCAGTATGTGGCTCCCGGCAGTAGCATTGAGCTCTGCTCTGGAAGTCTCAGGGGAGGGCAGCAGGGTAGAGCCCTGAACCTGCCTCAGGCATCTCACATCTGGGAGGCATGTGCCCCCCACATCTCTCTTCCCAGGCATGTGCGACCCCATTTTTTATTGTTGTGACCCCAAATGGGGTCATGACCCCAAGATTGGGAACCGCTGCTCTGTTTGTAGGATACGTTTCCAGATTTAACCGTGTTGTGTAGTTTTGTAGGTCTGTCATCTTGTCCTATGACATTCTAAGCCAAGCAATCAAACGATGCTAAAGTGTATGTCAGGTACAACAAAGTTAAAAATAATTTCACTGTAACTAGCATTTGAAAATAGACTAAAACCCCACAGTGCCATAATCTATGCTGGTACTTTGTCCCTTTGATTTTAGTTTTTATCCTAAATTCTGTCAATACTTAGAAAACTCTTTGATATGATACCTAATCTTCATGTGTAGAAGTGAAGGTACCAAAAATATAGCATTAGTGAGAGTCCATAATGCCACATTCCTTTTAATTACCCACCAGATGGAACTCTCCCATCAGACTTCACATTTTTCTTCTGTGAAAGATGATCTTCTGCAACTTCTGTGACTTTTATTCCCTTTCTCTGTCTGATGGTTGTCATGATGTCAGAAACTTCCATACATTATTCTTTAGTCTGATTCCTAAAACATGCATACACCAAAGAATAAATATTCAAATCCAAACACTTGTTTATCATTTTATGACAAATACCACTAAGAAGTGTGTGACAGGCCATGAAAGCAAACAGAAGCATATTTTATTGTAAATAAAGGCCTAAAAAAGTTCTCATATAATTTATGCATTTGTTTTATTAAAAAGCAAGAATGACAGTCTCTGTAACTCAAACACATAAAAAATAAGTGAAAAAGAAACGCTAGTGGCAATGCTACGAAGACTGATGCTCAGGCTTAACTTCATATACCGCCTCCAGGATTTGTGACTGTGGCTGTCCAGAAATTCAGGATTTTCCTAATTTATGATTGTGGGTGTCCAACCTAAGCCAGCTAAAACAAGGCCTAATTTTCAGGAAGTGCCAAGCCCTCAGAAAAACCAGCCCTTTACTTTCAAGTCCTTGATCTTTGAGGGGGTCACTGGATGCAACAGTGACTACGCCAAAGAAAACCTGAGAATGGATAACTTTGTAAAACAGAATTAATTTAGCTGCACAAATCCCTACCTTTTGGTACTGTTTAGACTACCGTGTATTTTTTTTTTTAAATCACAAAAATGAGAGAATAAGACAAATACGTAAGGACCAACAGTCAGAGATCTCAAGTCAGTGCAAGGCCACAGCCCCACATCTCACTGCCGAGGGTGTCAACACCGAGCCACGCAATTTTGGTCATTTTTGTACCTGAATCCCGGCTCTGAATGCAAAACACAAGTCCCCACCCACGCCCCGCCGCGGACACCATTCGCCAGCGAGGGTCGCCTCTTTTAACCCGTCTCTGGAAACAAATGCAAACAGCGAGACCCACCTCAGGTGCCCAGCACAGAAGTCGCAGGCTGACTTTGTGTCCAGCACCCCCTCAGGGGAGGAGGCCCGGCGGCGCTGAGGGGACGGGCAGGTGCCGAGGGAGAAGCCCGCGAGGGCACAAAGAGGCCGGGGCTGGGCTGAGTGAGCCGCAGAGGGGCCGGGGCCTCCCCCGGGCACGGCTGTCTCTGCGCGGCCTGC